TCTGAGTGTTTTTATGGATATATATATATATATATATATATATATATATATATATATATGTATTTATATTTATATATATATATATATATATTTATATTATATATATATATATATATATATATATATTTATATTTATATATATATATGTTATTTCAAACACATCTAATATCCATACATACAGTATATGTTGTGTATATACAATATATATATTATGAAGCTGTCAATAGCTTTTACCCTTCAATTGTTTGCCATAACGTCGAGTTATTTTTGGGCACCGGGTTTGATGAGATGCCATACATTTGGCTCATCTCTAATACCAATTGCATTACATTACAGCTATTTTTCTGAGTGATTGAGAGATATGGTGTATGTTTTTGGAGAGAGAGAGAGAGAGAGAGAGAGAGAGAGAGAGAGAGAGAGAGAGTATGTATGTCTATGAGTGAATGTGCTGTTTAACAACTGGTGTTTTGCTATTGAAATTATGATTATAATTAAATACATTTTAGTTTTGTTTCAAACAAACAATAAATTTATTTTTTAATATTAACAGTAAAATGTTTTGTGTTTGAAAATATTTGTCATCTTATTTTTAGTTAAAGTAATTTTATTGAACTAACAATAAAGCAAATATATTTTATTATTAATATTCAATAAGTGCTATATGTGTATGTGTTGTGTGTGTATGCGATAGCTGTGCCTCCTGTGAGACCCCCAGAGAGACACGACCTTTGGTGGGCCACAACACCTCCCGCTGTCATCAGATTGAAGATTACATAAACACGTAGTTCTAGTTTTTATGCAATCGTTTTCAATATAACTGTTGATTTATATCGTTTGATAAAAACTTTTTTTTATAAACTATTTTGTTTTATATGATATTTTATACTTTTATTATATATAGTATATATACATATCTATCTCTGTGTCTCAGTAAAGTATTTACAGATATTTTTGAAAGATGTGATCACAATTTTTGAGAAAAAAAAAGTTTTTAATATATATAAATAAATATTATACGATTTGTATTAATTATATTTATTTTTGCTACAAATATTCTTTACCGAAAAAACATTATAATGTTTTAAGTAATCAATTGGTTTGAGGGGAAAACTGAAATATGCGTTTGACTTTATGATTGTAAATGTGATATTTGGTGTCAAACAGAGGTTTGAATTAAGATAAGCGCATGAAATACTGGAAATTGAAAAATACTTATGATTTGTAATCAATTTTTATTTTTTAAATAAGAAAAATTACATTTAATTTATTTTGTTAGCTCTCTTTCTCTCTCTCTCTCTCTCTCTCTCTCTCTCTCTCTCTCTTAAAGTACTAAAAATAATAGATAGACAACAAGCCTTACAAATACATATATAAATTATTTTACGATTAAATTTATTTATATATTTAGTTTAAAATTTCAATCCTTATCGAAATTGCATTAATTAGTGTTTTAAAAATTTATATTATAAAAATATATTTATATAACTTGTTATAATTTATTTGTGATACATGTTTTGCAAAAAACATTTATAGACACTCACTTAAAGTATATAAACTACTTTTTATATTGACTTTTATTGATATTGTATTATATTTAAAGGCGTTGTTTTTACTTATAGTGTAATAATATACATAAAAATATTAAAAATACATTTTCAAACACACATTCCGTATGTACAGTATTTTTATTTTTATCAGTTAAAAAAATTATCTAAAACTATAGCAGTGTTTAAAATGCAAAACATATAATAAGCAAATGTATTTTATTTTATTTTATAAAATATATGTTTTATATGTATTTCCTATGTTATCGAAATAAAATTGATAAAAAATGTATTTTTTATTAATATATAAGTGTTGAGGCATTTGGCGTATCGATCAATAAATATACTGTATATACTCTATTGTATTATACATATTTATATAAAAAAAATAGATGAGACATATACTCAATGTATGAATAAAGAGTATATTTAATACAGTATTGAAAACGACTGTTTATAGTTGTCATTGATTTGATTGTAAATATAAACGACTATATAAACGATAATTTCATATCATTTGGCACTTTTGCCATCACTAACATTGACGACATCATTTTGACACTATTTTAGCATGACTTCTAGTTTATATCTATTGCTATTTTTACTATTACTACAATACAATAACACAATATTAGAGAGAGAGAGAGAGAAAGAGAGAGAGAGAGAGAGAGAGAGAGAGAGAGAGAGAGAGAGAGAGAGAGAGAGAGAGAGATATTTGTTGTGTATTCACGTATTGAAAACATGAATCACTTTACGAATTTTCGATCAATTTTTTTATCTCTATCTTTCTCTCTATTGACTATATATTGCTTTAAACATTTTGAGAGCCTCTAAGCAAAATACATCACTTTTATATACAATTTCTCTTTCATTTTTTTTATTTTGTTATTTTTCTGTATAACACTTTTTCAATATATTACATGCATTTACTGGTAGTAAAACATAGATTTTTAACCGACTCATGGGATTGTTGTTCAGCTCATACTAACCAACTGTTGCTTATTTTTTTTCTCTTTTTCTTTCACTTTACTCTATCTTCCACTTAAACTCTAAACATGCCATACAATTGAATGTACTGTAATGTTGATAAAAACATAAAATTTCTATTATATAAATGTTAGACACATATAAAAGAAAAAAACAAGATATTTAGTTAAAACATCAAATAAACAATAATCTCAAATAGTATAAAGTTTATTTGTTGTATCTACACTATCAAAATTTTTTATACTTTTTATAATAAAAAATAATATTTACTGTCTATTGAAATGATTAACTAAATTATTATTGAAATTAGACAACAAAAGTATTATTTAACATTGTTTTTATGTTTGATGTTTTTTGCTTACATTTTAATCAAAACTCAAAAAATCCTGTCATTTAATGTTCAACATATGAACTAAAATTAGTTATTAAAGGACTATAATTGAGTTTATTTTTTATTGCATAGAATTGAAATAATAGTAATAAATTTTAATTTTACGTATTTTATAAAATTATAGCAACGAATTTAATAATACTGTAATAATAATATTAAATTACTTAAATTAATTACTTAAATGTTAATAATTTAATTTCTATAGAAATTATATGATATATAGATATACATAACAAACATAAAAGATATTTTAAGCAAAAATAATAACAATAATAACATTTAGCAGACATATAAAATAAATCTACTTTTAATAATAATAATATTTAAAAACTAAAGTAAGCTATCATTTTGTTTTATTAAAATTCATTTAATAAAATAAAAGCCTCAATGTGTAGATTCAATTATTAAAATTAGGGCCACTTTTAATATGTGACATGATTTTGTAAACGAAAGATGATTGTATAGATGTATATCATATATTCAAATGTGAATTCATCGATGAGATAAATGTGTGTCTATTTTATAGCAAAATATGCGAAAATTGTAACAAAAAAAATCGAGATATCAATTCAATGCATTTGAAAATTTGTATTCAAATATAGTTTCACTATATTTCTATTAGAATTATTATATCATATTGTTGAGTAATTTTGTAGCAATTGTTTTATTATAAAACTTAATAAATTATGTGACCCATCCCCTAAAATCCAATGATTTGTACGGCTTCTGTATATTGGAATAGAAATAGAGGAACGGTAGCTTTTTGTGGTGGCTATTAATATATACAATAATTGATATCCGCAATCCATGAGAATTGTTGTGTTTAATAAACAATTTTGTTTAATAACTTATTGCTATTTAAGTTTTAGTGATTGTAATGAGTAGTCATTTGAATGACACATTTTGATTGATATAACACAACAAATCTATTAATTTGGTTTTGTTGTTATTTATTTGCTGGTAATCAGTAGTACAATGACCCAGTGATTACCGATTTGGGCGGTCTGTCCCTCAAATACTGGTATATCGCTTTGTAAATTGATAACAAATGCTGTGATACTTATTGTTTGGCAACTCATTTATGTCTTTGCCAAACATTTATTGATTGATCTCTCCTTTTATCTCTCTCTCTCTCTCTCTCTCTCTCTCTCTCTCTCTCTCTCTCTCATACACACACATAAAGCGCGTGCATGTAATCAATCTAAACTCGTGCTCAAACTAAAACAAAGTGCATCTCTATTATAAGTTTCAAAATAGACCGCAAACCCACTCTCTTTATATCTCAAACCTCACATAAAGTATACACACATTACAACATAAGTAGACTTTCTCTTTGGTAAAAAAATTATACTTATTTTTAGCACACAAATAGTTTATTCATGAAATTAGTATTATTATTACTTATTATTTTTTCACATATAATAAACAAATTTCAAGTTTACATTACATTATATGTGTTTTGTTAGCACTACCGGCACAGTGAAGGTGTCCTTTTGTCGGCTGTCCTTCAAAAATACTAAACAGTTGTTAACAAATACGGTAGTAAACTCTAAATAGTATATAAAAACAAAAATTTAATTCTTTAAAAACTTGTGTTTAATGTAAAGAATTTCATATTTAATGCAAACTTAACTATAGTCTTACAGTTTAAAAAAATTGTTTTTTATTGAGAGAAACCATAAATATATGCAAAATTTAAAAGGCATTTGTTTTTTGGGTCCAAAAATTGTTTTAGTGAGAGGTGTATAAAATAAAAGAAGCATTTATTTATGTTTTGTTAAATTAATTTTCATAACATATTATTTACGGCTAAAATGAGATCAAGAAAGAGAAACAAATTGTTTAACACTGTTTAAGACAATTAGGTTTAATCTCTCATTACATGACTGTCCCCAAAGCGCTACTATATTATCTTATTATCTAATTAAATATTATTTTTGGCTAACAATAAGTTTAATTATATTTAACAAATATGTAGATATGCATTATATACTATAATATTTAAAATTTATTACATATGAAAAAATGTATTTATAAGAGTAATTAATGTATGATAATTGTTTTGAATGTCTGTATAGAGGGAACTGGACCAGAGAGCCACACAAATACTTAGCCGACAGGATGACAGCGATCGCTCCCGACGTCAATTGGTTGAGTTAAGCAAACAGTTCACCAAAACATCGCCTGAGGTAAGCAATCGGAGCTCATGTATCACATTATATGATTCATATAATTATCATTTTATCCATCACTGTATCGGATAGTCATTCACTGATTTTATTAATGGCATTCACACACATACATACATACATAAACTACATTTACAATATTAATACTTTTATGTATACACCGGTTATATAATTTATATAAAAAGATAATTATAATGATTATGAATATTATAGCCCTTATATCATAATTAGCACACCGTTTCTCATCACAACATTTTTGTGACCGATTTTAGTCTCTTTCTCTTTATCTATTCATTCATTAATTTGGTTTATATATAATAATAATAATAAATATCAAAATGCAAAATACAATTTGATTAGAGTTTAATGTTTTCTAATCTAAAATTATATTTTTAAAGACAGAAAAAATATAATTTTTGTTTGACTGCAGTTGTTGTTGTTGTTGTTGTTGTTGTGTTTCATTTTTAGAGGAAACAGTTATGAGTGATATTAAACATAATTATTATGTTCTCGATTAGCTGTCTGACTGTCCTATTATTTAATATGATATAACATTTTTATATACTATACATTGTATTATTATTATTAGTAGTAGTAGTGGTAGATATCCATAATATTTATTTCAGAAAAATAATTTAGTTGTATAACTAGTATTTTCTAATGATATAAAACAATACATTTATAGTAATAGTAGTGATACATACAAACCAAAACTCTGTCATCATTTTGTGCCATAATTTTTTGGTTTTTAATGCAAAAGTTCTTTACAGATGAGTAGTATTAGTTGTTACATAAGTCATCTAAACTTTTATCTCAAAATATAAATTATAATATAATAACAATAATCAAAGGACACAATCATTGTTGTTGTGCTATAATATAGTAATAATAATAAAACAATTTTTAACATGAAGTGTACCAAAAATTTTACATTAATTTAGTGAAGATTTTTTTTAATAATGTAAAACATTTGAATGACACAAAAGCAAAGCTCAATCTGTTTTATGTATTGTTTTTGGGCAAACATCTGAACATAATTTAGTCAAATGACTGCCTTTTTATTAGATGCCTGTGTCAGAGCATCCCTTTCCTCACTGAAGCCATGAGTGAGTGTGTGTGTGTGTGAGTGAGAGAGAGAGAGAGAGAGAGAGAGAGAGAGAGTTTCTAGTCGACTGAGAAAACCAAAACATATTTAATTACTTCCTCGAAAAAATCATGTAATTAAAGGACAAATAATTTTTATCCCTCTATTGCTCATCACTAACCACTCATATCTCTCTCTTTCTCTCTGTTTGTCTGTCTGTCTCTCTAATCAGTCATATATCTTCTTTCATCCTGAAATATATCGTTAAAATAAAAGAGAGTTAAAAAGCTAAACTCCTATTGTTTCACAAACATATCATTTGCCACACAATAATAATTTTTTAGTTTTTTTATTTTTATATAGTATATACATTTTTAATACAATATATTGTAAATGTCTGTATAATATTTTTATATTAGAGAGCAATCCAAGTGATAAAAATTACATAATTAAATGAACTTTTTGTGTTAGACTTGCCTTTCAATGCATATTTATTAGTTGTATACTGTATACAGTACTATATATATTAGGTATTATATATATATATATATATAGAGTACACACACAGACATATTATATAATATTATTTTAAGCACAATATTGTTCACTATTTATGTAATCTATTAAGACTTTAGTTTTTTAATATATTGTGCCATCCATTGGCAAAATGAGAATTAAATTTTTGTCAAATAAAAAATACTTTTATAATAATAATACTAATAATATTGTTTGTGATTGTGTGCTGAACTGACTGTGCAATCATTGAACACAGTGTAGAGATCACCGATTTATATACACCATTGCCATCACTGCACTGTTAGCTTACAGTTATTTCAATTTAATACTACTGATGCTGAGTTGTAGTATATACTGTATATCCATATGAAATGATTTTATTATATATAAGTATGAATAGGTCTTTGACTCTATGGGTTATAACATTTATTTGTTTCAAAAATTATGATAACATTAATTAATATGATATAAAAATTATGATTATTAATATTTTTAAAGACTCAACAGAAATAAAAAAATTAAAATGTTTTTAAAATTGATGTCCTAATGGTTGACAAACATATGCCGTGTAAATGACTTTATGTTACTTTTAAAGACATTGCTATGAATGACAAACACAACTATGAATAACAGTTTATTATTTGTCAACTATTTTGTTAAATTACTTAAACTTTAATTTAATGGCAAAAATTATTATAAATAATATATTCCTATATTAATAGTCATACAAAGCCATTGAATGCGTTTTTCAAACTCGACTTTTGAAAAAAAAAACTTTTCTTCAGTTGTATATTTATTTATGGATTCATTATATGGTTTAACTAATGGTATTCATCGACTTTAAGAAACTACGAAAAAATATTATATGATTGTGTAAAGCACTTGTTCCTCAAAGTAATCAAATTTTATCATTCATATGATTTTATTTACGTATACAGTGCTATATATATATATATATATATATATATATACTGTATATCGTATACTGTATATACAAATACAGTATAAATACTAGAATATATTGCTAATGTTTGGAATGCATTGAATTTTTATGCATATCTTTTTTGATAAAATTATGAGATGAATCATAAAAATATAATACAAAATTTTTATTTATATCAAAATTTATATGATATATACATATATTGAATATTTTAAGAAACGGTTTCATTTGCCTAATAAGTTATGTATACACACTGAGTGCTCATTAGATTCCGGTGTTGAACATTGTTATGGAAAAACCTACAAATTATTATTGAAAAATTTAGTATATATTTATGTATTTAACTATCTTTTTCATATACAGTAGTTAGACCAGTGACTGATATAACGGCTCACTTATTTAATAGTCATACAATAACAACGCAACTATTGTATTATTTGATTGCCTTTAATATTTACAATAACATTAAACTATTTGTTAAAAGCATTAAAACCAACACAATTTTATTATTTATTGCTTGTTATTGTTAATATGATTACACCTAAACCTATGGTGTGGTGTATGTGATCATCCAATTGGGTCCCAGTCTTCACATTAAAAGCCAATGCATTGGAATTTTAAATATTTTGTTTGCCTTTTAATAGCATATATTTAATCTCTCTCTCTCTCTCTCTCTCTCTCTCTCTCTCTCTCTCTCTCTCTCTCTCCTTCAATCTCTTTATGTCTTTGTGTCCTTTTTTATGAAAAATAACATAAAATAAGAGTTATAGCCATTGATATCAATGCGAGGAATGAATATATTTTGTGTACATTTTTATTACACACTTTTTTGTGTATATAATTTGATTGAAATCAACTTATATATTGAATATAGCATAATATCTCTTTACTGTTTTATAAATTATATTTCTTTTTTTCATTTATTTAAATTTGGTTTATTTTTAAAGATCGTTGTTATTGATTAAAAAATATATTTCATCTTTTACTTTCATTTTATTTATTATTATTAAGTGTAAGTTTTAATTATTTTAAATAATTTTAAAATATTCAAAGAATGTTTTTCGAGAGAGAGAGAGAGAGAGAGAGAGAGAGAGAGAGAGAGAGAGAGAGAGAGAGAGAGAGAGAAAGAGAGAGAGAGAGAGAGAGAGAGAGAGAGAGAGAGAGAGAGAGAGAGAGAGAGAGATTATACTATTTTCAAACAACAATAATTTTAAAGATATTTTTATGTTGACTAAAATCTAAAAAGGATTTCCGATCATTTGTATGATAAGTTTTTTGATAGAAAATAATGAATATTCATGTATTTCTTTGCATATATTGGATATAAATTTATCTTTTGATTTATTTTTATATAAATGACTATATATTGTAGTATTGATGAGATTAGTATTTTGAATTTTAATAATTTGCTTTTAATACAACTTTGATCTCTCTCTCTCTCTCTCTCTCTCTCTCTCTCTCTCTCTCTCTACTATTTCTCACTTTTTTCTTTTTTTATTTATGTTTCCAATTCTTCACTTAAGTTATGAATCTGTGATAAAATTTAAATACCATTTTTATCGATAGATAGATACATATAAATTTAATATAGTATCTATTCATTTGTATCCATATATTTGGAACTTTTATAATAATCAATACAGCGATTGTATAACAAAAAAAAAATATTTTCAAAAAAAGTTATGCAATGATTTAGAGTATGTGTTTTGAATAAATTTTAATAAAAGTATAGTTGAATAGCATATAACTGTTGTTGTAATACATTTGGTATTAGTTAAGGTCTACATAGCGTATGCATCATATTATTGTATGATTGTATGACACATACCAACAAATATTGAATACCAATCCATGAAATGCATTGATGTTTGAGTGCCGGCATATAAACAGCGCACCGATTATTGCCTTAAACAGTGCTCATACACTCATACACACGCCTATTGCCTATCCATACAAATAATATACACGATATTTGAGAGAAATAGAGGCAAACATGCATTGCACGACTCATACAATCTTACGGATATCAGTGAGTGAGTTAGTGAGTGAGTGAGTGAGTGAGTGAGTGAGTGAGTGAGTGAGTGAGTGAGTGAGTGAGTGAGTGAGTGAGTGAGTGAGTGAGTGAGTGAGTGAGTGAGTGAGTGAGTGAGTAAGTAAGTAAGTAAGTGAGTGAGTGAGTGAGTGAGTATGAGAGATAGGGAGAGAGAGAGAGAGAGACTATCAAAGAGATGTCACGCAAAACATTGAATTAATTTCTCCATTGAATCTAATATGAGAATCAATGGGAACTAATTGTGTTTCAATAAATCTTATGTAGTGTTCAATACATTTGCCATTAAATTATTATTTTTAACAATATTTTCCATTAACTATGAATATATATATGGATGGATGGATTACATACTGTTTTATAAGTAATGATTAAAATGAGAAGAAAAAAATAAAATTCAATTCAAT